CAAAGCTGCTGCTCAGAGGGGACAGATGGCCCAGGTCTAAGAGGCTTATTTCTTAATAAAGCTCCCTTCTAATCTGATTTTCCCAGCAAGGTAAGAAGCCCCTCCATGCATCATCCCCACAGCCATGTCTGAGAATGCCAGACCCACCAGATACAAGGCTGATGGGCAGAGACTCTCTGGCACAGGGCTCTGGGGACAGCAGTCCCAGGGCAGCCAGAAGTCCTTACCTTGTCCTAGGCCAGCCCTTTCACTTCCTTTCAGAAGCTTCATTCATGAGTTCACTCACTCACTCACTTACTCACTCACTCACTCCTTCTTGGGATACGTAATGGTCAGTCTGTGTGAGATTCTGAGGCTCAGGGATGAGCAAATACAGTCTTAGAGGGCTGAGAAGCAATCATGGCTTCATAAAGTTGTGAGCGCTGAGGTAGAGGGCCAGGCCTAAGAGAGGGAGTGAGGACATGAGAAGCTGACACTTGAACTGAGTTATAGGAGAGTTACAGCTGGAGAAGGGGGTCTGTGTGTATGTGTGTGTGTATGTGTGTGTGTGCGCACGCACGCTTGCACACACGCGTATTGGAGCGAAGTAAGGATGCAGCAAGGGCTGGGCAGAGAGACTTGAGTATTTGAGAAAAATTTAGCAACTGGACAGGAAAATCAGGGGACAAAAGGGGAAGTTGGGGATGCAGTCTGGGGCCATGTGAGCACCTAGAATACCATCAGATATCTAGAGTTATTCTTGAGGATGATGAGGAGTCGGAGATAATTTGTAATCAGGAGAAAATGCAGGTAAGGACGGCCATTAGGAGGAGGTGGAATGTGCTAGAACTAAGGCGAGGCACAGAGAGAAGGATCAGAGGGCTTCCTGAGCAGCAGTGGCCTTGTAGACTTGGCAACTGGGTGGGCTGTGTGGGCAAGTCCACAGTGATCACTCCTGTGCTGTATCAGGCTCTCACCAGAAACTCTTGGCAAGGTGAACCCCTCACTTACCAGCAATGTGAGAGCTAGCCCTTCCAGACCCTTGTCCTTCATTCACCTTTCTCTTCAGTCCTCTCCACTCTGTCTGCCGCCCACACA